GCTGCAATTTTTAATGTAAATAGTGTAGAACAACTTTGACTCTGTTATAAAAACAGATTCCTAAAGGTAGTATAAAGACTGGGAGAAGTTTTCTGGTGCATTCTGGACACATCCCAGTCTCACCTCACCCTGTCTGGATTGTTAGTTGTTTAGAGAAAAACCCACATTCTCACCTGATTGGACTGACACCAACCTTCCAACCTTACAGAAGAGAAAGATCATGTAGAACCTGTTTAAATCTCTCCGACTAGATTCAGACTACATGTTCTGAGGCCTCTCTAATAATTAACTAGCTTAACCCCAAAGTAACAAAACATCAGAGGAAGCACTTGCAAGTCCAGGCATGTTTGGTGTCTGAACACAAGCGCCAGTGACCACAGCCGTCCATCTCTGCAGCGTCTTATCTCACAGGGTGTAACCGTCACTGAAACTTTAATGTAAGTCCCCCGCCTAAAGCCACATTAGCAACGGAAACGGACACAAGGTCAAGTGGAGGCAGAACACGAGGCCAGACGGAGATCAAAGGTGACAGGAGAGCGCTGAGATAGACACCAAGACTGAACCTATAGAATTATTTAAGCCGAGCCCTGACGTCCTGAGGAGACAGTTACACACCTGAAAGTTTAATAGTGAAGGACCCAATCAGAGGAAGAACTTACAGGTTGTTCAAGCTCATGAACTGTCTGCAAATGAGCAATGACGGGAGTAGGTGTAATTCTGGAAAATAAACATACAGGTCAACGTTTTTGACATTTTGATAAAGAATATGACCCTCAAAAACCAACCAAGCTGCAACTTTTGGCTTGAAACATCTCTATAAAGTCAGTGTGCAGGTGTTCAGACCTGATGTATGAGTGTATGTGTGTGTTTAGTGAGCGTCCTACATCCTAATGGGTTCACACATAACCTGCAGTCCCACAAATGAGTTACAGTTAATGCAGGAAAGACCACCATGTCGAAGCACAACTCTGTTTTTACAAAGAAACAAAAAAAACAAAACAAAAAAAAATCTACATCAGGTCAAAAAGTTCTGCTTCTTAATTCTTGATAAACCTTGCAAGTTAATTATAGTACAGTTTAAGTTGCATAAGAGAAGTATATGTAGGCCGCTTTTTAAACGTGTTTTTGTTCTGCTCATGATGACCTCCTAGTGGAGACATCACATCGTGTCCATCAAGCCTTTTGTTTCTATTCTTTTTTTTTTTTTTTTAAGGTGCAGGTTCGATCTTGCATGTGGGCTGTTCCATCTAAAGTCATCAGGGCCCTTCTGCTCGACCATCTCTGATTAGCTTGAAACTTTATTTTATCATAAGCTATCCATCCATCCATCCGTCCATCCATTATCTATACACCACTTCATCCTCACTAGGGTCGTGGGGGGCTGGAGTCTATCCCAGCTGACTCAGGGTGAAGAGAGTGGAAGTTGTACCAGTTGTTTTAAAAGTAGATTTCATCTCTACAGTCTTTAAGAGTCTGTACAAGAGCTTCAGCTAAATTCACAGATTGAACTAAAATCATTACTAAATTAATCATTTTAACTAATAAAAATATGTGCAAACAGATTTTTTATTTCCATTTTTTAAAATGTCTCAAAACTTATAATAACAATAATAAGAAATCGGATGAATCTGAATTGCTACAAGATGAGTTTAAACATTTTATGGTTGGTCAGAACTACTTGAGTGACCGTGGACAAGGGGTCGCAGTCGTTAAAATGCAACCGTAGAGACATGATTCTGTAAAACTGGATGTAACTCAGGTGTATTGGTACACGTGTAGCCCTCTAATGGGCTTCACTGTTGGTTAGCCAGACGACTGAAAGAACAATAAAAACTCGGTAAGACATTGTGCCACCAGAGTGAGAGTAATGACCCTTTGTTCTAGATGTTAGTCTGTGGTGACCCCCACTTGCTTCCACCTCTGATTTTTACCATCAGAAGATCCAAGGGACAGTTTAATATTCTTAAGAGTTCATCGATTCAACCGAGCATTTCGTACATTCCCCGTAACAGCTTTGTGAACTCTATAAAGTCAGCGAACGTGAACTCTGCATGATCTGGAAAATCCCTCCTTTGTTCTCGGAGAACGCCACTCGGGCTCTTACAGTGTGAGTCTGCAGAAACAAACAAGGCCTTGACAGTCTGCTGAAACCGCTACGAGGAAGTGACAGCGTGTTTACCTTATGCAAGGTCGAGTGCACGTCAAATCTCAAGGCAATCAAAGCTACTCCGAATCAGATCGTAAGTTTTGTCCGAGCAAGCCTTAATCCGGCTTAAGAGGCAAATTGTATCGAGGATAAAAAGTTACCTGAGCTGCCTGTCAAAGTCAACGTTAAGGGCAACATGCAATGTTCAGTGTAGCATGAACGCAATGTTCCCGTAGCCATGGATGCATCCTTACTGTATGTGCAACATGCATTATTAACTGATTTTCCATACCTTGCTTTACGTACATTCAGTCTGACTAAGCTCTTCTCAATACAGGATGATGCTGCTGCAGACCAGGCCACATTTCCAGCATCCAGAACAACCTTTAAGCATTTTGGTGCTCAACTAGTGCAAAAAGCAGAGCGCTAATATGCATTTAAAGAGATATTTTCTAGCAGAAAATCAATTAGTTTCTGCCTTGTTTTTCTTTACCTCACTTGGCGGGCTCACTGTTCGCCTGCTATCCTTGTTTAGAGCATCGCTATTGTGCAGTGTGAACGTCTGATACAGTATCAGAGCTTACTGGTTCATATCAGTGTTAAGTAGCCAGAGGAGTAACTGGAGTGGGGGGATGTATCCACCTCAGTGGGTTCAATCTGTCCTCATTGGCCACACACACAAGCTGCACCTCGCCAACACACACGCTCGCAAAACAGAGTATCAGGTAACAGCCGGTGAATTATTTAGCAGCCGCGATGAGTGCCGCGAAGCAGCAACCAGATTCTTCCACATCTTTGCGCCTGAATATTAATGATCCAGAGACCTTGACTTGAGGAAAGCAGAGCGACGAGTCAGAGGGAGAAGACTCCTGAAATTCTGGGAGAAAACGGTGCTGACGTCTGTTTTTTTTTGTTTTTTTTAATAAACGAGCACTGAAGCAGGACGACGGATCATTCAGCAGGATCCCGACACGACACAAGACTTGTGCAGTGAAAAGCTAAATAACTGAAATAAGTCAGTGGTCGAGTAAAAGATGGAGCTTAAAAGCTGTGTGGTACCTATCAAGGTTCGAAAATGTCATCATTGTTTACACGCTAAGGTTTCACCGCAACTATTTTGGTCGACAGAACACTACGAAATGTAACTCGAGAAGATTTAGCTCATCAGTTTACCAAACAAAAAGCTGTGGTGGCGCGAACAAGTTCAAATTCAACCACCAATATAATTGTGTTTTTTTACTCTTACTATCTTTCTCATATACATTTTAGTTTCTGTTTTCTGCTTCATACGCCACATTTATGCAAACGTCAATCTTTTTGAGTTATGCCAACTTCTAATGAAACTATGTTCATCCAACAAACTATACTGAGTTCAGCAAATTAGCTTTTATCGGTTTTAACTGTCTGAAGGCATGATAAGATGGGAGAGTGGACTTGAGATCCTGAACTTTAAATTACCTCAACTTGAATTGAGCTTTAAATCAACTCATGCAAAAATGTCTACACAGAATATTAAGTTGATTGAACGACGTCCATGATTACATCAACCTGAAAATCAGTAAACTATGACTGTTTATTTTGCAGCTGTGCATTTCATCAATGAGCAGGACTTCTGTAGTTCAGGGGGCGTTATTAGGTACTAACTGTGTTTTCTATTCATTTATACATTTTCTTTTATCTGTCTTTTAACACTTTACTTTTCTGTTGTCGTCTTATTTTGCTCGTCATAATTTCTGACTTATCCTGCCTCTGATGTTTCCTCTGTTCTTATTGAGTCCTTCATTTAGAACACAATCGTTTATGAGGACATTGGAGGGATACAACGTTTGTTTGTTTTTCTTTCCTTTTGTTCTGTAAAGCACTTTATGTTATATTTGTATAAAAAGAGCTGTACATTGATTGGTTAAATAACTGATTAGGTATCCAGCAGTCAGTGTGAACACGTTTTTGTTTAATATGTAAGGTTAAAGTACCGCTTTGGTTCTTGTTAAGTTACATAATTAGAGGTTTTTGTACATTCCTTAAAGTGGTTTAAATGTAAGCCTAAATGTTGCTTCCTCCAGTATGTCTAGATTTCTCAGTCTCCTTTCACCCCTCGAAACACTCGCTGCAGCCCAGCACACCAGCTCACCTCTGTTCAAGCACTTCAAAAGTCTGTGCTGCACAATAGCAAGCTGTAATATCGGACTACTTCAGGCATACATGTTCAAACCAGAAACTGATTTTGAAGCAGGATAATGCTACAGAAAGCCCAGCAAACTGAGGAGATTGTAAGTTTAAAGTCTTTGAGACTGTCATCGGTACGCTGCAGTTTCAAGATGGAAATGATCAGTGATGCTGTTGACTGCTTATTTCACTCAGGATGTAACTTCTAACACATAAAAATGTCATATGGACATGGTACCAAGGTAAAAAACTACATTATTACTGGAGAATCTTTAAATACATGAAAACAATGACCTGTGCCGGTTGACAGGCTTCATATGAGCTTCATGTACTGACAGACGTGTGTCACAATATACCTTCATTTCCACCATAATGCACAGTCTCCCAAACTGAAGATAAACTCTGCAAAAAAAAAAGACACATTAAAAGAATTGAAAGTAGAATTAAGACTTGTTTTTACTTTGACTTTCAATGTTAGTACAAAAACGTATGAAAGAACAGCGAATACAAATAGAACCAAAAGTCAGCGGGCCTTCTGCACTTCACATTGTGACGGGTGGAGATGTTGAAATTCAAGGAGAACGTGGTTGATGTGAGTTAGACCAAACTGTAGCTGCTCAAGACTGAGTTTCATTTATTAGCTCATAATAAGCAGAGTTGAAGTTTTGGCACTGCAGCTTCAGTTCTACGTATTTTATGACGTATGTTTTGGGGACAGTTCTGTTTGTGCTTGTGCAGAAGAGTTAAAGTAGAACGTAATAGCTTTAGTACTGTATGTCTTTGTGGCTCCTTTTTGCAGCTGTTCCTTAAAATGCAGTTTGCTCTCTACTATTAAGTGCTAATCTTCCTTTCAAATGTATTGCAAACCTACGAGCACCCTTCCCTGGTCCCTGCCTCTCCTCAGTAGTCCATGCTGTGCAGCTGGTTCTTCCTGTCACTTTTCCCCTGCACGGCTGCAGGAAGCAGCGGCAGGTTCAGGTCCGCGACTCGACGCTGCAGCGATGAGCGTAACTGAACTGAGTTCCTCTTGGCCCCGTTCATCCCTCCTCCTGCCCTCTCTCCTCCTCCTCCCCCTCCTCCTCCTCCTCCTCCAGCTGCAGACAGATCTTTCCTCTTCCCCCTCTCCTGCCTCAGGCTCTTGATAACTAGAGTGTGTTGTCTCTGCGAGGGGAAAGCAGGAGGTTTGGACCCGTTCACGAGGAGCCCTGGCGGTCCAGGTCGGCTCAGCCCCACCCAGGTCATCTTCCTCCCCCGTCCATCTTTCAGCCCCACGTTGCGCAGGCGTGGGAGGGGGGCGGAGGGGGACGTCTGCGGCGTCTCCATGGTACCCAGGTGCGCTCGGTCCGAGTTGTCGGCCTCCAGGAGCATCCTGGGAGAAATGCCGCTCTTCTCCGAGGAGTAAAACGTCTGTAGCTTCTCCAGGCGCTCGTTGATGCTCAGGTGATGGGAGTCGTCCTGGAGGCGGTTGTCATGGAAACAGTCCGACCCAGGGTCCGCCGCCCCGTCCGACTGGGTCGTCCTGAGCAGGTGCGTGTGTCGGATCGGTCTGGATGTGCTCGGCTCTCTGATTGGCTCGCCAGGTAAAGGGACTTGGCAAGGAGCGGAGTCGCAGAGCTGAGAGGCGGAGCTTTTAGGAGGAGAAAGATGGACGAGCTCCCTGTCGCCAAACACCGACACTGGAAGACACAAATATACGGATAAAGATAAGATAAGCTAGGATAAGACAAGATGCAATAAGATGGGAGAAGTTAAGTTAAGATACAGTAAGATAAGATAAAACAGGATAAGAAAAGTTAAGATACGATAAGATAAGATACAATAAGCTGGAATAAGGTAAGTTGAGTTAAGATACAATAAGATAGGAGAAATTAAGATAAAACCTTATTGATCCTGAATTCATTCTTGCCACAGATATTGCTCAAAAAACCAAAATGATACAAGTAATTCAGTGCCTAAAAAGTAGAAAAGCAATAAGTTATAAGTACTATACAATGCTGAAGTAAAATGAGTGAGCTAAAATACAAACTAATACATCATTCTGTGGATGCAGCATTTGTTTCTGTTTAACTTCCTCACCTTCAGGAAACAGCGTCTCTCTGGTGTCCAACGTGATCTCCTCGTCTGTAGCTCCGTCCTCTGCAGACGGCGGGGCGGGGGAGGGGGAGGGAAGGCGAGGGGGCAAGGAGGGGGAGGCGGAGCGAGGAAGCTGGGGCAGAGAGGGAGACGGGGGACGGTTCTCGTCGCCGTCCTCCCGGTGGTCCTTCCTGTGCAGCTCCTCGGCCCTCCTCCTGTTGCTCTGACACTCGGCTGCCCTCGGAGGCCTGTTGGAGTGCTTCGAGCTCTTCTCATTGGTCGGCTCGTTCTGAGGACAGGCAGTGATTGGCTGTCAGGAGGCCCTAGAATGTTTATTTACTGGCAATCCGCCTTTTGTCATTCCCATTTGATGTATTTGCACAAGCAGCAAGGATCAATGTGCTGCTTCTAAGCAGGGCTGAACGATTTGGGGAAAAAACGTCTAATTGCAGTTCGTCCTGACAGATGTTGTCAATTGTAATTACATTTTGCTTCACAGTATAATAGATTTAGACATGTGATGAAGTGTTACCACATGAAATACCATCAGAAGTGCGACTGTCACACAAGGAGGACGTCATGAAGTTGTAAAACCACTGACAGGACAGTTTAAACGCTGCAAATGACATCATGTATATCCTAAACCTTTGGCAGTTTGCTAATTGCATCGTTTCCAGTTGCAGTTTTGATTAGAAACGGACTAATTGTTTAACCCAACTTCTGAGATGTCGAAATAAACGACAAGCTGAAATTTCAAAGATACCAAGACACCTCAAAAATCAGCTGGTTGATGCTGCTCATCACGGTTACATTAATCAAGTTTGTTTTAATCTTCAAAGTCACGAGACGGCAGCAGGATTCAATCAACCAAGATGACTGCGCACTCCTGAGGAACGATGAATAAAAGGGTGCACATTTTCCACCCAGTAATAAGCCATAGAACAGTTAATGTTGTCTCCTGTTAGAGCAAATAGGAAGAGGGCAAAATGACCAAAACCTCAGGGAGTCTGACTCCAGCCGATGAGCTGTCTGTCATTCAAAATCAACTTCACCTGACTTCACAGGGTAGAGAGGGGAGAACGTCTTCCTTGGAGCTGCTGATGGGACTTTAATGTGCAGTGGTTAAATAAGCCGTCTAGACATCCCTGCTGTTTGTGGTGTCACTTCTTTCTTCAGACCACAATTGTCGGCGAGCAGCGGCAAAAGTGACCGAGCGCCGGGACCGATGAGAGCACCGTGTCTGGACAACATCGCCACTTGAAATGCCCTTTGTGTTATCAGCCCGCCGATCGTACACGGTTGGGCGGATTTCCAATTAAGTCGGTCATCTAATCTTGTTTACTCTGAATACTCCTGAGTGGGTTTGACTTTACAGATATGTTGACGTGACACCCAACCCAACAAGTGTGTCGAAGAACAAAGAAATCCAGGATCGTGTCAAATGATAGAGAGAGTTTACTTGAGCTAAAATGTCGATCGACATCTGGACAAACGGCCGCTGGGGTACGTTACACTAAATGTAAAACCTTCTTTTATGTCAGATTGTCAAGACGGAGGTGGAGATACAAGGAGGGCTTGATGCTTGAAGGGCAATTTGTTGTTAATAGTTATTATTGATATGATGTTGATCAGCACAGAATAGGGGTCTTTTATGAACTGTACCAATCTGTCCTGGGAACAATTCGGATCGTCTAGCTTGTACTGACACAGAGATTTTTCACCACGACTGTTATCTCTGTCTGTTTTCACCACTGGTCGGTCGCTCCATGACAGCGCACTTCCTGGTCTGGGACTTCTTGAACGCTGGTGAAAACTTGATGCAATTTTACGTATGATGTCTGGCGTCTAACACCGTCGAAGACATTTGTTTCTGTGATTGATAAGCCCGATACAACCACAGTGTATATACAGGTTCATGGAATTGTTCAGGTGTCAAAGCATTGTTTAGTACTTCAAAGACCTTCAGAGCACCAAACCTATCCGTCCTGTGTTCCACACATGTAGAGCTGCTTACTAACAAACTGATGCAAGGTTTTCGGATTGTTACGGGTCGGAATCTCAAGTCACGATTTATCCAACTTATATGCATTATCTGATACTTATTTGTGTACCTGTTGTCCAAAAACTATGACAACACATCAGACTGTTGTATTGAGTTTGATGTTGCTTCATCATGATGAACACAGGAACTTCAGTCTGTTAATTTTTACTCATGTACTTACTCTCTGGCGAACCAAATTTCTGATAACAGACCCAACAAATGCACTATTTCCCTTAAGATAATCCTAGAAACTATGTATTTGTGATCCCAGTTCATATCTAATTAAGAGGCCCATCTACATGGGAACAAATGCGTAGAAATGGTGCTTGGGTTTCTTGTTATTTGATGATAATAAGAACAAACTAGAAAAACCTGTCCTGCAACACATTTTACTTTTAAACATCTTATCCAAGTAAATTCAAGGGCGATGCTTAAGTTCTTTGCACTCAAACGAGCAAAACTGTTTCCAGAGTGGCACCAACACTTTCCTGGTCTAGCACCAAAACCTAAAGAATACTGTGACCAACAAGACCGACTTGGTGACCGCCATTTTTAATAAAACAGAGCTCGTCTGCCTCATCCGAAGAAGAAGAAAATCCACTTTCAGTATGGACGTGTAATCAAAGCAGCTGTGTGTAGAAACCTGATGATGTGTTCGTTTCACTGTCTCTGTTGTTTGATGTTTTAATGTCATCAGCTGGCGTTTAAAAAGCGGCGTCGCAAATATAAATGCCATCATTGCAAATGGTGGCACGAAGGGCGGCGCTCGCAAACGCCAGCCGCCATCTGCGAAGGCGTTTATAAATGCCGGCTGGTGATATTAAAACAGCGAACAGCGGGGAAGATGAGATAAATAATGACTTCATCAGATTTCCAGCAGCGCTCCCTGGAAGAAACAAACTGTCTCTTTGCACTCTGGTTTTCAGAATAAACTAAAGGGAGCTTCAGTAACATCATAAGTGGAAGTTGGTGCTTGACCAGATTTATAAAATGACTCCATGGTGGCTCTGGTGTCTGTGGGAACTGGTTCTTAGAGGGTTTGCAAGTGGAACCAACTACTGGATCAGCAGCAGTAGCACCAGCACAGACACCCACCAGCTATCAATGATTACAGGATTTATTGGGGATATCCTGTTACTGATCTCAGGGGCAGATCATGGCAATTTTTAAATGATCAGCAGAAAGGTAAGCCCCATTCTTATTTACATGCATTGTCTCGTGGGCATGTGTAACAACGGCTTCATAAGTTACTGGGCTATAAAAACACCCTCCTAATTATCCCAACATGGTTGGACACTCGTGTGCTGGCTGGAGGTCATTAAACCTTTGCAGAAGACTTTGTCATGGTGCCCCCCTACTAGCCAAACTCCCACAATGCTCTCTGCTTTCCAACAGTTCCTGCCTCCTCTGGTCATTAAAGTAATTAAAATGTGGCACAACAAGGTGCTACAGCTGATCCACTTTATGTGAAGTGTGTATTATCTAGGAAAACTGTATCGGGTGTCAGCAGATACTAAATATTACATGACTCAGATCGGATCTGGAGCTAAAAAACAAAAGAGAAAAATAATCTTGATCGGTTTATCCCTCACATGTATATAATGAGTATTTACAGCTTAAACAGTACCTGTTGCTGAGTGTTTGTTTCAGTGTTACTCCTCTCTCTCCATGTGTTCTTGCTGGGAAGACTCCAGTCACTGCTCTCCAGCTTCTGCCAAATACATCATGAACTAATATTTCAGTATGCACAGAAAATAATTTAAAAAAAGAAATGGTGAAAATGTGGCAGCAAAGATGCCAGGAAAAAAAAAGTAAAAAAAAAAACCAAAACTGCGTAATGCTGTAATGTTCAAAAACTGTAATAACAGCAAATAATTGTAAATTCATGACACTTCCATCTGATTCAAATACAGTAAAACTGTGTAATCTTACAGTCACACTTTGTAAAAGAACAAATTAGTCGATGGTGTACACAGTTTTGGCTTGTTTTAACTTACAATCAACATCTAAATTAATACTTTTTCTAAACGATTTTACTGGTTATTATCTATACTTTTTTTTTTTAAAAAAGGTAAGATCAGTAAATACAATTCACTGTTTAAACAAACTATTGACAATTTTCAACCTTCAGTTTTCAATATTTGCAAATATAACAATATTTTTCTCATATAAATGCAAAAAAAATTAAAGAACAAATTACATTTCATAAAAGTACAGATTTTTATTATTTTAAGTTATGTCGTGTGCTTTTTTTGTTTGTTTGTTTTTTTACAATGCACAAAATAACACTTTTTTCTCTAATTTTCCTAATTTTTTTCACAGTAATCTTAGAAAACACTGAAAATCTGGAGAATACCAGTAGATTTTTTTTTTTAAAGAAACTATATTTAAAAGCTGTTTAAAAGCATATATATAAATATATATATTTACAGTATACACAGGCCTGTGTGTGTGTAAGTAAAGCATGAACCTTGCTGGCTTTGGCTCCTTTCGGGCTCCTGTTGAGCTTGTTGAGCAGCAGGTGGTACGAGGCCATGATGGCGGACGGTCGGTTGCTGGTCAGCGTATGTATGATTTCAGAGAGCGAGTAGCCGAGCGTCTCCGTCATGAATGTCAGCACAGACGAGTTGAGATCTTCTGGACACAACCTGGGAAATAAGAAGAGGGACGGACGGGAAAAGGAGTCGCATGAATAAAGTGTAAAGAAAGTAAAGCAGAGAGAGATCTAAAGGGTCAGTCAGGATTTGTTGGTAAGGAACGACTTGTAACTAAAGGATTTGGGTTGAAGGCAGACCAGAGCTGGAGCAGTCCGTGCATCATTCATGTGGATTTCAGAAAACGCATTATTGCCAGGAGGAGCCATACATGATTGCATTTCCACACTGCGTAAAGTGATAAAAGCCTTTTAGTTGTGCTATAATATACAAAGCTGTTATGCTGCAGACCACAAAAATTCTCATTTTCTTGGAAAACATGCAGTGATTTCCCTCCCGCTTCTTTTTGCCCACATTGTAATGTTTACTGCAGAACTTTCCCTGAGGAGACTTTGTGTCCCTCTTTGCTCTCTTGGTGCAAATGTTCATGCTACAAATATGGTGCAATAATGAGGAGGAGGCATACTGCTGTCACACGAGAAAAATCAAAATGGATGAGTTTCACATCAGAACATGAAAAGATCAGAGTTCTAACAAGATGCTCTTTATATTATAAACAGATATCCTTATGTTATTTGACATGCAAACTTATCCTCTTGAAACAAATTTTCTTTCTTGTTTTCTGTGGTGAAAATCAAGTTTCTTAACATGCCTATATGGTGTTTTTTTTATGCCGAGAGATAAATCAAGAGTGAAACAAGCTGTGAAAACCATGACTGAACATTTCCACCTTGAAACTGCAGTTTACTAATGACAGTCGTTAAAACACAGATCATATTTCATGCACCAAAAATGATACAAATTAAACCTCATATATAAAAATGACTGTTTAATTGTATATTTTTAAATTATTATTAAAAAAAAAAAAAAAAAAGACTTTCCTGGCAATGTTTTCATGGTTCAGAAAAAAAAAAAAAAAAAAAGACTTTCCTGGCAATGTTTTCATGGTTCAGGCTTTACAGGGTTAATTCATGAAAAGTTTATTTTCATGGGGGGAAAAAATAAATAATCCTAAATGTGCAACTTTTGATGCACAGTGATGAATTTTTGGAGGTTTAATGAAATATTTATCTTCTGTTTATCTTGTTATACCCCAAAAATTTCATCTTATATTCTGAAAACCTCCATTGTAATAACGTACAACGTTGGATAAAAGTGAGGAAAATTTAGTATTTGCAGGATTTTATGAAGTTCATGATGAGATTCTGCTGTTGTTGAGCACGATGGATGAAACTGTGAATGAGAAAATGCCACCTACTCCACAGGGTTGCACTCATTTTACCGTTTGCACAGCCTCCTATAGTTTAAAATCCTTCTTTGTGTACATCGGCTTATCACAATATCATCCACTGTGCTCAATAACGACAGAATCTCTTTTTGTCTTACCCCAACGTGAAGTAGAACTTAAACAAAGTGCGCCATATTTTTCCATTTATCTGTCTTCTGCACTGTTTTCTCATTCAAACACGAGCTTTATGTCTTTAAAATATAACTCTTATCACATGAAGCAGTTTATCTTAAAACAAGATCAATCAAACATATTGTTATAAAAAGAAGAAAGGAACGTTTTTATTCTAATATAATGAGTTTGTATGTCCTGACACCATGAAAATATCTTGTTATAATAATGAACTTCTTTTTCTTGTTCTGGTGTGGAAATAAAAGTACTTTCATAAAAAAATATTAAAACAACAACTTTTCTTATATTTCCGTTCATTTAGAGAATGTCTAAATTTAGAATATATATTATTCTGTGTGTCAACAGCATAAATCCTCATTTAAAGAATGCATATTTCTGTTAGTTTAAAGTGTGTTTATACAGTCGTTCTCGACCTGTTTTTGTGAGACAGCGTGTGCAGTGGTTTCTTGGCATATCCCTCGTTGATCCATCTCTCCTCCATCGCCGCTCTGACACTCGGCCTCTTGTCTGGATCCGGCTCCAGCAGAGACAACACGAACGACACGGCACCTGCAGCACGAGCACAGACGACGCAGCGAGTTTTATTCACTTTCACAACTTTAAATTCAGTGATTTCAACATTTGCTTTAGTGTAAATTCTTACTGAACAGACTCACTGGCAGCTGCTGGTAGCAACTTTATTTTTGATTGTCATCCTGCACAACGGAACAAAGTAAACTCTCCTCTCTGTAATTTATTTATGCATGTTGTTCATTAATCAGGTGTCATCTTGAATAAACATGAAGAAATCAAAGCATGCTTGAACTTTCTGTCCAAGTAAAACTTTGGCTCAATCACTCTGTGGAGCACTTTCCAAGTTGCAAATTACACAAACAACCGTGTAACATTTACTTTTTTTTGGTCTGATTGCTGCTGTCGATTGCCCAAATGCAGCAAACCGACAGAGCTGAGCAATTAAAAGTGTTACACAACGACCTCGGCCTGATGTCACTCACTGTGACTTCACTGAAACTTTATCAAGAGGAGGAGAGGCAGGAGAACCCTTCAGGAGAACCGATTCCGCCTGTCAGCCCGCGACACAGAGCAGCCCTCTGCGGCAGCCAAGCAGGGTTTCAGTTCAGATGGGGATTCCAGATAAGCCTCACGGTCTGCAGGAGCAGATGGACTCGAACGGGACGGCTGCCACGTTCACAGACACACAAGCCAAGACTGGCCCCTTTTTCATTTACTACTATCGGTTGTCTTCGGTAACAGAGCCAGAGCAGCGTGTCTCAGCCGGGTCAACTCAGTTTGTTTGCAACCGATAGAATCAAAACACACTATTTACTGATTTTAAGTCGTGCTTCCATGGACGTTCTGCAACAGACACAAGTTGTTTAAAGTGACAAAAAAAAAGAAGTGTTTAAGAGGATATTGCAAAAAAAAAAAGTTTGCACGATCAAAACTGACAACTAAACGAATTAGTGAACCAATAAGTTTGACCAGAGTTCAGGGATTACTGGGCAGAAGAAACAGAAACGGTAAAAGTGACGTCGGTTTTTAGAAACACGCTGAAACAAATAGGTCCATTCAGAGGCAGGATTAAGTCTGAAAGTTAACGTGGACGTCTCACATGGCCGCCGTGGCAGCGGTACAGCGCACTAATCTGATCTTGTCACAGCTTCAGAGCATCAGCGCCGAGCCGGTTTTCCCCACAGTAACAGGAGCTATGTTTGTTTGTGGTGACATGGCGCCATGACAGAGTGTAATGGAGTGACTGTGTGTGTGTGAGGGACCAAAATACAGTAGAGAGAATCAGAGACACACCGAGGTCACTGTGGACGTACAGTGGAGGACGAGTGGACGAAGGAAACCATCAGTGAGACTCTTATTGCTTCGTTACAGACTGAATAAACACAACCAATTTTTAATTTTATTACCCTGCAGTATTTGGTTTAAAATAAAAACCTGCAGCTACATCAGCCCAAAACATAATCTAACATGTGTTTAAAGACTTTTCTGTTGTTTCAAAGTTTACTTTCCTTCATTACTTGTGACCAAATATTCACTAAATCCTTATCTGGACTCAAAGCACACCATTTTAACCTTAACTATATGGTTGTTCAGTGGGTGTTAAATAATGGAGCTCTGTCTAATCTACAAATCTTTGATGTGTATTGCATTACTTTCCAACTCCTTTTCAGTTGACCAAGCATATATTACATGGGGGGGACTAGAAGATGGAGGAAGAGGGTGTGACAAGGTGTATTTCAACCCAAATCGTAGTCCCACATAGTAAGATCTATCTCTTGATTAAGTGCTGGAGAATAGTGTGGCTGCATTATCATTCTGCAACCAGGCTCATTTGTGTTTCTTTAATATACTTTTGGAGGAAGTTGTTTTGCAGATCATTTGCACAGGATTCAAGCACCGTCACTAAAACAGTCACGGCAGCCGTTCATCAGGTGGAAGAGCGGGTTGTTCGTTAGTAGTAAGGTTAACAGTTTAATTTCCAGCCCTACATGTGCCAAAGGCAGACGAGCTCCTTGCATATCAGCTCTTCCACCATCTGTGTGTGAATGCATGAATAAGAAACACATTACTGTAGAATCTGCTAAGTCTGTCTTTGCTAGCCCACTTTGTAGAACATAATTATACTTGTTTGTATTGCTTTAAACCAATCGCAGTCGATGCAGGCGAGGTTAAGAAAAGGATCATTAGGTCTTGATCCAAAGCATCTGCAACATTTTGAATATTCAGTTTGGTAGGTTGCTGCTCAGAGGTCGGTGTTGTTGTTTAACGATAGATAATGAAATGAAGGAAGAAGCCAACTGAAATGAGCGACATCCTACATACACATCTCTAGTTTTTATTTTGTGTCTCCGGCTCTGGAGTTGCACATTTCTGATCTTCGGGCCACGTCTTCTTGTGTTTGTCGTCTGTTTCTCTTTGCCAGCCTTTGAATTTCTCTCTCTTCCTTCCCCTCACCTCAACCAGTTAAGGCAGACGGCTGCTCGCCCTCAACCCGGTTCTGCTGGAGGTTTCTTCCTGGAAGTTTTTTTCTTCATACTGTTTCCTTAAAAGGAAGTTGTTGGATTTCTTTTCACCATCCAGTGAGTCAGACTATTTAGGTCCAGGCTATTTAATTCACCAAGCGGGCATGAATCGCTGCACGATCCAACTCTTTGTCAAAATCATCCATTTTCAGCTCGTAGGTTGTTACTCAGAGGCTGTTGTTGCTTTTGATGACAAGCAAAGACTGGAAGGGCGGAGAAATTACCGACTTATACCCACAGTCTACATCCGGTGAGTCAGACTATCCAAACCTTGACATTTTCCTAAACTTTACCAAATAGTTTCGGTGCCTAAACCTAACCAACCAGCATGAGAGAATGAGACTTAAGTACAAAAATAATGATCACACTTGGGACCAGTACCGCATCCCTCCAGCCCTTCACTGCAGACTTTGTGGCTCTTTTGAAGCAGAAACTACTCCATCATACCTTTCAGCTTAGTGGGAGAAATGACGTTTCTAAGAAAAAAAAACCTAAATGAGAATGCACTAGGAATGTAAGCTCTCGAGAGACGACACAAATAAACGAGCCTTTGTTTCGGTACCTTTGCTGACGTCGCTGGGGATGCTGCTGATCTCTCCGTTGACCATCTTCTGGTGCAGCTGTTTGATGTTGAAAGGCTCCACGGTGAAGGGGAGAGTTCCTGTCAGCATGGCAAACATGCTCACACCTCTGCACAAACGCAAGGAAAATGTTGAGGAATCATACGTACACGATGCCTACACAGAAATGCACCGAGACCGAATACGCTGAGACCTACACAGACCAGACGTCCACTTTGGGTCCATACTTCCTGTGAGCGAGCAGCTCAGGGGCGGCGTAGGCTGGACTTCCACACTGGGTGCTGAGGAGCTCCAGAGATAAAGATTCAGCCTTCAGGGTGTTGCTCAGGCCAAAGTCTGTGTGAAATATCATCGTTTTGACAGCAGCTTTCTGTTATTGCATCTTCAGACACACTAGAAACTAAAACACACTATGAAGGAGGAAGCGTGAACGTACCAACTATCTTTATGTTGTTGTGCTCATCCAGGAGGAAGTTTTCAATCTTTAAATCTCTACAAAAAAAAAACAAAAGCGGTTCAGTCGAAAAGGAAGAATGGGGCTCATAACTGTTTTCACTAGCTCTGTCCTTAATCCTACAAGAATTTCTGGAGTTTTTTTTTTTTTGCCCACACATGAGCAATTTACTTGATGATGGTGGTTGTTCAATTTAAGAACTCCTACAATGTGTGTTTGGCCTTACTAAGCTTTTTTTTTTCTGTGTGTGTATTTATGGATATCCAGATGAGATTGGACCAAACTGGACCCACAGAAGCAAAAAAGAAAACCCCAAAGAGCTAAATTTGGGTTTGGGCAGAGCTCAAGCTTTAAAAACACTGCTGAAAAAGAGCGTTGTTTTATTTTATTTTTATTTTTTTCCAGAATGAACACTGAGCGGTCATTTAAACTTTTTTTTTTTAAAAGCGGTTCTTCTTGACTTACTATCACCTGAAAAAGTCTCCTCACTCCCCTAACGGTACCCCAGCCCCACCACCACCACCAACCACACCGCCTGCTCTAAAACTACCGAGCTAAATGAAAATCTGCGGTCAGGAGGGAGAGAGCCCCTATAAACTATAGCCTGGGAATCCGCCATGTTCCTTTCATCTGCCTTCATCTAACCAACAGACACTGAGAAACCCAGAGAACCCCGCTCGCCCAAGTTCAAAGACGGGAAGAAAAAGAGCGAGAGAAAGAGCGAGAGCAGACATTGTCATAAAGGAGAAAATGTATGCGGTGAACCTATTGAACGTGGGTGGCGGGAGGTGCGTTTAAGTGCAAATTTTCCATTTATTTCCAGTTTAATCATCTCTGTGTGGGACTGCGGCGGAGAGTGTGCATGCATGTGTGCGAGCGCGTGGGCGTGTTGCGACGAAGAGGTGCTGCTGAAGCGACGTCGTTGAGGGACTTCATTAGAGAGGAAGTCCATGATGTTGTGATGATGTGTGAATCATGGCGCCGGCGCAGGATGATGAGGTCATTGCCTGGTAATCACATTCCCACCTTCAGAGGAGCCAAAGTCTTAAAACCGAAGCGCAGCGCGTGTGTGCGTGTTGTGTGTGAGCGGCGTGCGTGGACGTGTGTGTGCGAGTATTGGGTCTCTAACACCTACACGTACTAAAATGCCACTAAAACAACGCTCTCATCTCCCACACCGCTCTGTGCCAGATGCAGCATTTCCTCGTCCGTAGGCTGTTAATGCCCTGCAAACTGCTCTGTGTGTGTGTGTGTGCATGTGGAGATGAAGCTACAACCCTAACAAATAGCTACTGTTAGGTTGGAGTGACATTTGAATGCCTCTTTAAGTTTTGCTCTTTAGTTTAACCAAAACTCTAATTGGGCCAGTTGGCTCAAAAGTAAAAACCAACTTTCTCAAGCTCCGGACCGGCTACACGTTGGCCTAACAAGCTTGGTTTTGGTGAATCACAAACCAAAAGACATCGATGATTTATTTGTTAAAAATAGAAAATGTTACGAATGTTTTAGCTGCACGTCCATGACTATATTTCAGTTTGAGCATCATCAAGACTTCTACCTCCTAAATCCTGAGCGGTTCAGTAGAAACCAACTGGACATTCCACATGTCATCCAAATGGCTTCTTCAGTTCTAATCACTCCTGTCCTTAAAAGCATCAACAGTAAAATCTTGTTCTTTCGCTGCTTCTGTGCCATCAGTAGTATACGTTGACTGCATCTCAGCTTAAAATGTGAGAAAGTGTACAAGCTTTCTTAAACAAAAAGAGAGAATATTAGTGTTAGGTATGAGTTCTCCTCAACAAAAAAAGTTCCAAAAGTAAGTTTAAAGTAGTACTAGAATATGTTTACATCAGAAACAGAAAGCTTTATTGTCACTGCACCAAGTAGTAACACTATGAATCATATACACACACCCTCCTCATTCATTTGTGCATCAATAAGTAACAACAACAAAAGCATCAAGAGTAGCAGCAAACATTGCAGTGTCCACATTTATTGCACATTATAGTGCCCACAATGATTGGGTGGTGGTCAGGCCTGAGATGTATGCCTTAAGTTTAAAATAAAACATGACTTTTCTCATACTGTGAGTCGGAAAAGTTTCAGGACCGGTGTCACAAAGGATATAATTCAAATCCAAACTAGAAATTTTCAGTTTTGAAGTAATCCCCCTGGAGTTTAACGCACTTCCCCGGCCTTCTCTGTCACGCCGCCATGCACTCCTGGAAGGATTCTTCCAGGATCCTCCTCAGCTCCGTCGTCACAGCCATCTTCATGTCGTCCATGTCTTCTAAACGGGTCCCCTTGATGACCCCCTTGAGCTTGGGGAAGAGGAAGAAATCCCACAGAGCCAGGTGGAGTGAGTAGGGAGGTTGCTCCAGCACGTTGATGTCCTTCTCAGCCAGGAACTGTGGGATGCTCAGGGCATTGTGAGGAGGCACGTTGTCATGGTGAAGCAGCCACCACTTGTCCTGCCACAACTCTGGCCTCTTCTGAACGAAGCAAACGCCGCAGGATCTCTTTGTGGACGTGCTGGTTGATCGTCTGAAGGGGAAAACTCGTAGTTTGTAGTTTGGGTTTGAAATATATCTCTTGTGATACCAGTCCTGGAACTTTGCTGACACACCTCGTACATTATCACAGCACCTCCTCTCATCCTCAATCCGAACACTTTCTATCTCTTTAAGGCCTCCATCCTGCAAAGAGGGAGAAAAGCTCCCTTTGATGTGGACTCTGTGAGTTTGCCGACCATTTACATGCACAAGCCCCCTCCAACTTTATACCATAATATGACTTCTTTAAGAGCACATCTCCCTCTTCATCCTCACAGTGAAAAGACTATCTGGAATAATGAAAACATTTTTAACTGCTGGATGCAAGATGTCACCAACGCCAGTCCACTTACGGTTTATGTGCACCGGAGGCTTAACGTCCTGCTTGTGTAAATCACGTATTGGAACACGACGGGCATCCAAATGGGTTCTGACAGAAAATCCTGCTCATATGTTCGCGTTTAAGGTGAACAGAGAAACCTCTTTGTCCGTCAGATGATCGTGAAAACAGCTTCCTAATGCATTCAAGTAAATCATGTATGAATATGAAAGAGGTGACATCACACACAGCACAGGGTCCAACACGGATCGGTTTTCGGGTCGCGTCTGTTCGACTACACATGCGTCCTCTTTTTTCAAAGTCTCCCAGACTATGAGGTTGCTGACTGTCAAAATAAAATAGAATAGAATAGAACTTTATTGATCCCTTTTTGGTGCAAACCTCAGGGAAATTGTTGAATGAATGAATGAATGAATGAATGAATGAATGAATGAATGAATGAATAAATCTAAATAAATCTAAATAAATAAATAAAACGACCAACAAAAAAACAGTTTAAAAGCAAAAACAAAAAGTTAAAAAAAATTGTGAAATATTGCAAATGAAAAAAAATGAAAATGAAAAAAAAAAAAGTCTGTTTAAACCAAACACAGCGGCCATTTTTAAAACAGAGTTTTTGTCTGTTGCTTTTTATTAATGTGTCACTTTTGTGTTTTCTATAAATTCTCGTTTAAACTCGTCTGTACTTTTACAGAAGTGTTCTTGACTTTAAATCTTTTATTTTTTACATATTACTTTACTTAGAACTGGAATGTGATTTTCTTGTTATAAACATATTAATGCACTACGTAAAGCACTTTGAATATTGTTTTGTATGAAATGTGCTATTTAAAAAAACACGTCTTACCTTGAGGCAACAATAAGCAAAACAAATGATGTTAAATGCTGCAGAAACAATGATGACTATTTCTATTTATATGACTATTTAGCTTAGACAATCACTTTATGACCAGGTTACCTTTACACCTGTAGCACCTGTAGATCACCAATAATGAGCAGGACAGAGCTTAATTTACTGCATTTTTTTGTGCATTTCAGTTTTAATCAATCAATTACTTTTTATTTTTATTACTTGATAAGTAAAAATACGGACAATCTGTTAACATTTACATGAAATGGAGAAAAAATAATGTACATCTTTATATTTGACAAATTGTAAACTGCAACTGTTCAGGACTTTGTGATGCATGCTGAAGGATTTATTGCAGATTTTGCACAACAAGAGTGAAAATCAACTGTTTCTGAATCATTTTGAAGGAGCTTTTTCTATCTAACCCAACAAAGTATCAGCACATATGCAAATGAGCTCACCTGGAAGAATGTAGAAGTAAAAGAGGCTGAATCTACGAGCTGTTAGTCACAAAGCAGACCAGATGAAGAAGAGCAGCAGAGGGTAAAGGTAAAGGTGCAGGTCATCGTGTCCATGCTCCTCCTGCGTGAGCGTCTACTGACCTGTGCACGATGCCGTGTTTGTGCAGGTGATCCACGGCGGAGAGGATCTGTCGGGTGTATCGTCGGACCTCCCTCTCCTCCAGCCTCTTCCTCTCACAGATCCGGTCCATCAGGTCTCCTCCAGCGCACAGCTCCATGGCCATGTAGTAGCTGTTCTCCGTCTCCAGAGTCTGACACATCCAGATCAAATACACAAAAACCTTTAAATGTCAGTCTACAGTCAGCACATCTGAGCGGATGTAAGGCTGTAAGACTCCATTAGAACTTTATTTGGACTTTAAATGGGTTATTTTTTACCTCCAGCAGAACCACAATATGAGGATGTCGGACCATCTGATGAATTCGAGGTTCTCTCTTCATGTTCTTCAGCACGTACGAGTCCTGGCGAGCTTTCTTCTTGTCTATCACCTTAATGGCCACCTAAACACACAAACACATACGTATACTTCATGATATTTTTGAAACCTTAAGTTGTCAAAAAAAGGTTTAAAGTAACACCTCTTTGCACACAGTTTTAAACTAATGATAAATGTGACTTTCGAGCCTTGCTCAAGGGTACTTCTGCAGTTCTTGCACTTCCTTCGCCTCCATTCATCTGGAGTTTTGAGGCCACAAATCCTGAGCTCGTCGTGAGTTTAACCCACAGAACAGCACTCCATACTAGAACCTTTATGTCCATATGGTGTTTTTTTATATGCCAGAGCGAAAAATGCAATCAACACCATGGCTGAGCATTTATGTCTTGAAATTACAGCCCACAGATGACACAGCAACACAAATTTAGACTTTCACACATAACAAACTTGGGAAACTTTTCCATATCATGGGTGGAGAAAGAAGGAAGGAACTTCATGAATCTACACATTCTAAAGGTGGCATCAGTGTAAGATTAGATCCAAGACATTTTGAAGTTAGAAAGAATTATTTTCAAAGGGAAAAACATTTCCTAATATGCACACAGACACAAGCTTTTAGGAGTTAATCAACAATCAAAGGTGGGCTTCAGTGCTTAATTTACAGCTAGCAAAAGATGAGAAACTCCGGTATAAAAAAAAAAGCCAAAAGAAAAGAGCAATAAGTCAAGCAAACCTCCCTGATTCGCAGAAAGAAATATATTTCTCATGGCACTGTCAAATAACAAGGAAGTCAGCTTTTATTACACTTAATTCTCTGACTTCTGGGAGTTTTAAGTGCTCGGTGGAAAACACTGGCAACTATTTGTGTTCTCACAATCAATTTCCCCCACAAGATAATGATGATGAGGAAAAAAGGACACAGTCTGCACTGGAAATAAAACTCCAAAATGTTATATTTATTGAAAGTGATGCAGCTTGTCCAGATGACTGCTGCTGCTGGCCTCACATGTAAACACTTTATTCAAGGCACAAGGCCCCGAAACGGCCGCGAACACTGTGCCAGTGTGCCACCCCTAAAAAACTGAGGGCTCAGTTTACCGCTATGTTCATTTCAGACTGCATGAGCAACCTTCTACATCCTGAAAGGTAACTCAGGAGACCTATTTAAAAAACCCAAAACACTTACTTAAATAAAGTCTAATTTATTGATTTCTAAAGACTTTTTAATGGGTTGCATTGATATAATAATGTTGCTAAATGCTTCAATTTAATATTGGGTGTAATTTAAACTCATATTTCTGAGTTGCTTGGTTTAAAGTTAAATTAAACTTAAGGTAACTTAATGAAGCCAGTTTGATAACTACATTTGGTTAAGTAAACCTAATTAACAGCGGAGCAAGTACATTTTTTAAAATGTGCCAACTTGAAAACTTGATGACAATTAAATGCATTACAGTCAAAAATCTCTTTAAAATAGACGAATGTAGAAATGCTACTTGAAGCTATTTAATTTTTATGAGAAATCTTGTGTTTATGCTACAAATCATTAAGTAAAAAAAAAAACTCTCATTGGAGAGGAAAAGTTGATTCTGCTGACTCAGTGTGGTTTGTTGGACGTCGTCATAACTCAAAAAGATTAATTTAAACTTTTTTTTTTTCACTATGCCCAAACATTAATGACTAAATTGGTTACATATTTTTTTCTAACATAATTCTTTTACAGTGTATATCATGAACACGTGCTATAATGTGACTTTGGTAAAAAAATAAAAATGACATTTTCAGAGGCCTCATATGCAGACTTCACCTTCACATGTATGAACCTGCAGAGGGTCACGGGGGTCAAGAGGAACAAACACCCCCCCAGCAGGTGAGTTTGGCCATCGCCAAGGCAACCAGGTCAGGCACAGAGCCAGGGTCAGAGGCTCGGCGATCGGTGAAGGTTACACATATACGTATGACAAACGTATGCAAACACATGCACTGTTTTCTATCAGCACAGTTTAGAGCTGCAGCACTGTCTTTGTTGTTCATACCAGGATGGAAAAAAAAAATTTTTTTCTTTTCTTAAGGCATATATTCATCTGCATGACATACATTATATGTATATTGTAATGAGTTATAGTTTAAATAAGGACATAGATTGTAGCTGCCATCTTCTGTTAATGTCTTTGCATCCGTTTGTTAGAATAAAACTCGCTTACTGTGCAGAAACGCATCCAATTCAGACCTCTCTCAGTCTGCTGGGCAAATGTTGTCCCCTAAACTCTTTTTAAGAGTCATAGTTATGAAATGAGCAGTAATAGTTGGTCTGTCTGAGTTTTTATGTGCATAACAAGAATAATAACAGGCCACTACCTTCTCCAGAACTCAAGTGGGTATAATTATCAGTTACAAGGCACTAGTTGTAACCGTGTAATCATAATCTTGCATGTGTGTGATCGTTTTCCTTGCCAGCGTGCCACCCTATCCAGTCCGAGCTTCTCAACTCTCAAACCCGGCGACAAAGCGACCGACCTTCTCCCCCGTGCCGATGTGCAGCCCCTCCATCACTTTGGCGAACGAGCCCTTGTTGATCATCTTGCCCACCAGGTAGGATCCCACCCGCTTGGAGTGGGGGAAGCTCCGCAGCAGCTCCCTGGGGATCTTCAGGGAGGGCAGAGGCAGCCGCTCCCTGCCCAGCCCCGGTGCCTCCCACTGGGACACCCCGCGCTCCCCTTCCGCAACCATGTCGTCCGGAGCGGGCTTCACTGCAGCAGCTGGCATCCCGGACAAGACCCGGGCCCCATGTGGCCGCCGCTCGCACAATCAGACCCGAGAACGGCGCAGTCTTTCCAGAACACACATACTAACATAAACAAACACAAAGTTCACACGAAGGAGGCGAGATCCAAATCCGTCTTCCTCTCAGCAGCGCTCCCTCAGGTGGGCTTATCCTTCATTCCAGACGCTCAGGCGTACAAATCCTCTGCTCTTCTTGGTTTATTGTACCTCTGGACGAACACAAGTGGCTCAAAGCGTCCCTCTGGCTTCTCTCGCTCTGTCTCTCTCTGCCGGTTAGTGGATGATTAACCGTCGTGTTCTTAGGTCAGCTCCAGTGATGAGGAGGACATTCTACACCGTAATCACCCCCCACCTCTCCTGACTCTAAGGTGCACACAGGTACTCACAGTTACACAGTAACCACTCAAAACTCTCTTTACCTCCTTGTTTCCTCTTTGAAATCTTAGTTTCTATACTTCTAAAGAGGCACAATCAGAAACTGTGATGTTTTGATGCCAAACTGAACTCGTAAGTGTACAGTTCACCCAAGGATGTTGGATTATAAAGTGAGCTAATCCACTATTCAGCTGCAGGATTTGTTTATAAGTCCATGTTTCAATCTGTTTTTCCTCATGTATTGCTCAGACAGACATTTTTGTAAATTACGATTTGCTTTCAAATAAGATATATTTATATAAGTTGGGAAAATGATGATACTTTAAAAGAGCTACAAGGCACATCAGTCAGAGCTACACTGGCTACTTCCCCCCCTGCTTCCAGTTTTCAGGCTCAGCTCAGCTTCCCAAGTGAGGACAGACATGAGAATGACATCAATCTCCTCATCAAACTCTTGGCAAGAGAGCGAGTAGAAGGCAACACCGCTTGCTCCTTTGTGGTGCACGGAATCAAATCCGCCCCCCCAGACACCCAACTTATTGAAAAAAATAAAACATCACATATCACCCCTGCATTGATTTATTAATCGCTCGGAAGAACTATCAATCATAAAGTGGCACAGTGCTTAAATAATACAGCTCATAACTGCATGATGGACCACTGCTGTGCTCGTCTGTGTACTCAAAATTCCCACAAACTATACGACATCGCCAAACCTCTCGAAAACAATCAAGTCTGCATCATATGCCCATATTACAGTCCACATGTATGGTGCCACTGGGGTCCCACAACCTCACAGAGATGCACATTTTCAGGACAATTTATTCCACCTAAGACACATGTGTATATTTAGATTATATCTTGTATTAATGTAGATTTTCCCAAACGGACTTAGATCAATCAAAACAATCAGATTAAAACAATAGATTTCTTTCCCAGCAAGAAGAAAAACACGTATTTCCCAAAATGTCAAACTATTCTTTTAAACTAGGTGTTCAGGAAGGAGTTGGTTAAAAAGGTCTCTGCCTGATAACATTGTCTCATACAGTAGATTATGCAGCAAATACAGCAGGAGTTTATGTGTATATGACCATTTTGTGTGTCGTGTCTACAAATTTTAGGCTTTGCATGTGTCGTTTTTTTTTTATAGTGCTAAAATAACACAGAAATGACTAAGTTTAGTGCTGAAGTCATGAGCAGGCTCATTCAGGATTCATTGAGAAAACAAGCAAAGTGAGTCGGCGTATTATCTTTTCACATACAGATTGTGGGGCGGCTGTGGCTCAAGTGATAGAGCAGGTTGTTCTGTAACTACAAGGTTGGTGGTTTGATTCCCCGGCCCTTCCACAGTTGAAGTGTCCTTGGGCAAGACACTGAACCAGAGGTTGCTCCCAGTGACAGGCAGCACCTTGCATGGCAGCTCGGTCGCTGTAACATGTAGAAAAGAAATTGTAGATTCATCATACCAGGGTGATCAGTAAAATAAAAGCAAATTAGCAATGTTAAAGCTCACCATTATAACTTTTAGCTTCATTATTGAACTCTGAGAGGTCAAAGGTCAGGGTCAATACCTCTGGGTCAACTCAGTGTGTTTCTTAATGAATGTTCTCCTCAACATCTCTTAATCTAACGAGGTATTTCTTGGCTAAATATAAATCTTTCATGATTCAAAGCCGACAGGTTTGTATGCCTCTGACAGCCCCGCTCTCCTAAACATCTGATGAAGGCATGGAGGGAATTTCTTAAAAAATGTCAGCTTGGACTCGAGGCTGAAAGCTGGTTAGAGTTTGACACATTTTTTTTGTCCATAACTCATGAATTCCTACACATATAATGATAAAAGTGTGCACAAATGAGAACACACAAGTGTGACACTAGGGGGAAAAGTCTGCATTAGGAAGACCAGAACAGAACTTCCACCCAGGAGAGTAAAGTTTGTGTCTCATCTTGGATCATTAGCCTCAGAGTTAGGTTTCGTTTGCGCTCACTGTTTGGTTAAAGTGTAGGCAGCTAAACGACTTAGTTATGTGTCGGTTAAAATACAACCCTTTCTCAACATGTTTGAAGCTTCTCCTGCTCTGTATTCTGGGTTACTAGGATGACTAATGTACTTATAATGTGTCACAAGCAAACAGAATCTGGGAGAACATCACATTATAACTGACACTATATTTTGAACACAATTTCATAATCCAGATCAGTTTTATGGCCAAGGAGGTTTTCACACATGAAGATTTGGTGTTTTGGGACATTACAGTAAACATTAAGAATGTTAAAGAAGGCTTGAAAGATCTAACAGCAAGTGTTGCAAATCAGTAAACAGTGAGTGTTTCAGGAAAAATACAAATCAACAGCCAGCGTGAGACATTTAGGGAATTATTAGAGTAATAATAAAGTAATAATTGAGCATAAATGTGCAAATGAGTCGCCTGAGAATGTGCAAGATTACATAGTAATAATCAGGAGAAAAGGCTCCTAACGAGAGAAAATGATGAAGTGATGACATTTTATATCCACAATGTCAAAGGTCAACTTCTAGTCTTTTTAAAGCACCTGTTTTTGGTTGTTAGTAAGAGGAAATGCATTTATTGAGAGGTAATAAAGTATAGAAACATTTGACAATTAAGTGATATTACACTGGGGTGAACTCTCCGGCTGTCAGTCTTCCATTTGAATTTCATTCCTTAATATTTTTATGCGCTACACAGCAGCTTATGCAGCGCTAACATTGAACAAAACACTTTTCTGGCCAATATTTAACACCATAACTGTCAGGTGGTAATTCCAGATTTTTAATTTTAACCTGAATGCTCAGTTAACATTCATCATTTAAAGCAAAAACAGGAGTTTTAAGGCCCTCAAGCGATGCTGACGCGATCAGAGCCGTACAGACACACGCCATGACGTTGAGGTTCGTGGCCGACGGTCACCATTGAAGTACGTTTCTTCCTGCCGCTGTGTGTATTAAAGTGCACGTCTGTGTGCACGTCGGGGTCAGATTGCACCGCGTTGCCGCTCGATTCTTCCTCACTCAGCTGATGAAAGGAGGGATAGAGCTTTATATCCGCCATGTAACCCAACCCGCTCACACACACACACCCCACCTTACACAACCTTTAACTGAGCGGCTGTAGTAGCCAAGCGAGGCCTCTAGAGTTACCTTTGCTTTAAACATGTTGATACTGCATAATTCGATTTGGCGTTGGGAGCGTACGCGCTACTGCAGCAGCCGCGGCAGCCTTTCGCGCACTTAGGCGCCGTTAAACTCGCAATCAAAACACTTTGTCGACCATTTTCCTCCCAGTAGGTGACCATGCCAGCGTTTAAAAAAAAAAACTCTTTGAGATGCAATCAGCGACACCAGGTCCAAACCGTCTGAGCCGTAACGAAATAAAAGACACATAAATACACTGGTGTCAACAGTTTTTCCCGAATATTCCGAAATGAGCCACAGAACACAGAGGCAGCCTGCTATTAGTGGTTTCACATCAGTAGAATTCAAAATGCTGTGAAAAGACCAACCCAAACCCTTTCAAGAAAATCATTAATTTTCCTACACGGGGAAAAATCTCATGTCTTAATCTTCAATGTGCGCTCATATGCCTGGAGTCCTACACTTCATAAAAGGGTCTTAAGGCCTTGGCGTGAGCGCCGGAGAAGGTGTTAACACACCCTCCCTAATGCCGAGGAAGGGTGTCAAGCTGTATCTGGCTCTGAAGCGGACGAGGAAGAAAGAAGCAAGGGAGAAAGAGTGGCAGAGGGAAGGGGCGAATGAGAGAACGAAGCGCCGGAAGTGAGCGAAAAAAAGCTCAAAGAGGGAGACAGGATGAGTGAGAAGGAGAGAAACCGAGCTTCACTACTGCAAAACAAATGTGAATTAATAAGCCCTCGAGAGACTTTTTATATAACCTCAGCTCTGCCATGCTCAAATGTTTTGCAGCGGAGGCCTTTTCTACGTGTGTGTGTGTGTGTGTGTGTTAATGTGTGTGTTTCCATGGTTCAGAAAAGGTCATTCTCACTGCCAGAGACCACAGTCTATTTGTGTGTGCGTTTTTATGAGCGCACACATATTTGTACGCTAAAAGTACGGCGATGTGTGTGTGTGACTTTTTTTTACTTTTACTTTTTTTTGGAGATTATGCCACTTTGCATCTACACACGTGCATGCATAAACTTCATTTACATGCCGTACAGTATAATTATGAGTGTATACATAGTCCGCTGTGTGTGTGTGTGTGAGTGAGTGTGTGTGGCGTTGGTGCACAGGAATGCTGGCTTGCCTGTAGGACTTGGCGAGCTTCTCGGCGGTCACATTAAATGAGAAGAGAAACCCCCTTCTGCTTCCTGCCTGTAATAAATGGATCCCCAGCAACCATTAAGGCATATTTTAACACCAAATAACTCCCCGAAACCACACTAGAACAGACAGAGTCCACCCCCACCCTCTCACCATCTCGCTCACTCTCTCTGTTTCCTATTCTTTTCCCTTTCATTTCTTCTTCTACTCTGTCACGTTCGTGCAAAAAAAAGGAGCTAAACTTTTAAAAAAAACAAAAAAAACATGACATCCTTTCGGTGCCGCAGCTTGATGCACTTCACAGTCGTAG